AACTGGAAGAACCAATAGGAAGCTATTTAATTTTTTGTTTTTTAAATATTTTGACAGGAGTTGATAAGTGCAATAGGCACATGGAGCTACCATTCATTAAATGAGGTATGTTTCAGAAAGTTAGTATTGTTCCACCCAAAACCAATACTGACTTAAGTGGATAACTGCAGAGAATGTAATGTTGAACAAGAAGGAATAAACGTTTCTGTTCTTCTATGTCAGGCTGAGCTGCAGGAAGAGAAGTCCATTATTTGATTCATCATTAACCAAACTATGACCTTAGCATTCTGCATGCAAATAGCTCAAGTTAATTAAATTTAATTGAAGTTTCTCTATCAAAGACCCTCAGAACCTCAGACTCAAGGTCCAAATTGCATTCAAGATTTTCCCCTCCTCCACCCCACACTATTCTGCATCCTTCTGGTTCTCTTTTCCACTTTCAACATGCTGCCAAATCAAAAACCTAGATTTTATCCTTAACTTCTTCCACCGATTATCCATCAACTATTTTATCTAGTTAGCTTTTTACCTTTTCAGTACTAAACTAAGGGGCACTTCACCTCTGAGATACATCCTCAGACCTTTTTTAAAACTTTTGAGACAAGGTCTCACTGAGTTGCTGAGGCTGGTCTTGAACTTGCAATCCTCCTGCCTCAGCCTCCTGAGTCACTGGAATTATAGGCATGCACGACAGCATCCAGCCCTGGTTAGCATTTTTTAAGTTCATCATTGAAACCAAATTTGGTTTTTGAAAAGATCAACAAAATTGACAAAGCTTTACCTAGATTGATCAACAAAATAAGAGACAAGACTAGGTACTGAATGAAAGAGGGACATTAATCTTGAACTTAAAAAAATAAAGAGGGTTATAAGAGATCATTACAAACAAACATGTCAAAAAATGAGATAATTTAGATTAAATGGACAAATTTCTAGAAAGACCCAAACTACCAAACCCAACTCAAGAAGAAACTGAAAACTCCTATGATAGTAAAGATATTGAATTAGTAATTTACACTTTCTCATTAAGAAAATCCCCCAAAACATATGGCTTCACAGATAAATTCTACCAAACATTTAAACAATTATTATTAATTCTCTCAACTTCTCTCCAAATATAGGAAAAGATAAAACACTTCCTAATACATTCCATAAGATCAATAATAGATAGAAAAACCAGACAAACCAATCACCCCCACACAAAAAACTATATATTACCCAGGTGTGGTGGCATGATCCTGTAATTCCAGCACTCAGAAGGCCAAGGAGGTAGCATTAATTGAGTCTAGGAATTTTAGACCCCTCCGGGCAACATAGCAAGATCTGTCTCAAAAATAACTGTATATTAATATCTCTTATGAATGTCAATGCAAAAAGCCTAACAAAACTAGCCAACTGACTCATATAACATATCAAAAGGTCTATATATCACAACCAAGTGGGAATTATTCCAGGAATGTAAAGTTGGTCTTACATTGGAAAATTTATTAGTATAATAAGCCATGTTAAGAGAATAAAGAAAATAAAGGATAAAAATCGTTTGATTATCTCAGTAGATGCAGAAAACACAACAAAATTCAACAACTTTTCTTGATTAAAAAAATCCACACTTATTGCTACTTGTACTCTTGATAATTGTTATTCTGACTGGAGTGAGATGAAATCTTACAGTAGTTTTGATTTGCATTTCTCTAATTGTCAGAGATGATGGATTGTATTTCTTCTTCTGTGAAGTGCCTGTTCAGTTCCTTAACCCATTTATAGATTGGGTGATTTATTTTCTGGTGTTAAGTTTTTGTGTTTTTTTAAATTTTTGTTGTTGGTTGTTCAAAACATTACATAGTTCTTGATATATCATATTTCACACTTTGATTCAAGTGGGTTATGAACTCCCATTTTTACCCCATATACAGATTGCAGAATCACATCAGTTACACATCCATTGATTTATATATTGCCATACTAGTGTCTGTTGTGTTCTGCTGCCTTTCCTATCCTCTACTATCCCCCCTCCCCTCCCCTCCCCTCCCCTCTTCTCTCTCTGCCCCCTCTACTGACATTCATTTGTCCCCCTTGTATTATTTTTCCCTTTCCCCTCACTTCCTCTTGTATGTACTTTTGTATAACTCTGAGGGTCTCCTTCCATTTCCATGCAATTTCCCTTCTCTCTCCCTTTCCCTCCCACCTCTCATCCCTGTTTAATGTTAATCTTCTTCTCATGCTCTTCGTCCCTACTCTGTTCTTAGTTACTCTCCTTATATCAAAGAAGACATTTGGCATTTGTTTTTTAGGGATTGGCTAGCTTCACTTAGCATAATCTGCTCTAATGCCATCCATTTCCCTGCAAATTCTATGCAATAGAATCTCTGAGCATGAAGATTACAAGTAGTTAATTTTTATTTACTTATTGAGTTAGTTTTATAGTTGTTACATTTTTCTTTTTCTAATTGGACCAAAATTCACATAATATTAACTATTTCAGAATGTACTATTCAATGGCATTTAGCACAAACATTTCTTTCTATTTTCAAAGCATTTTCATCACCCTAGAAGAATATTCTGCACCTATTAAGTACCCACTTATTACTCCCTCTCCCTGCCCAGTCCCTGGCAATCACTAGTTATCTTTCTGTCTCTATGGATTTTCCTATTCTGGATATTCCACAGAGAAGAAATCATACAATATGTGACCTCTGGTTTCTTAGACTATTTTAGAGACTCATCCAAAGCTGAAGCATGTATCAGTACTTCATTTCTTTATTATGACTGAATATTCCATGATATGTATATATCATAATTTGTTTAAATCTATTAATTTACATTTAGGTTGCTTCTACCTTTTGACCAGTGTAAATAGTGTTTATATGAACATTCAGATGAAAGTTTTATTTGGACACCTGCCTTCAATTATTTGGGGTATAAACCTACAAATGGAATTGTTGAGTCATATGGTTATTCTATATTTACTTTTTTGAGGAATCAACAAACTATTTTCCAATTTACATTATAACCAAAAATTAATCAAGGTTTCTACTTCTCCACATTCTTGCCAGTAATAAATAACAGTAATGTTATTTTCTGACTTGTTTTTTTATTATAGCCTACTTAAAGGGTATGAGGTGGTATCTCATTGAGGCTTTGATTTACATTTATCTAATGACCAATGATGTCAAACATCCTTTTAATATGCTTGTCAATCACTTGTATATTTCCTTTGATGAAATGTTAACTCAAGTGTGTGTTATTTTAAATTATGTAATTGATAATATATTTTATTTTTTTAATATTTATTTTTTAATTGTACACAATATCTTTATTTTGTTTATTTGTTTTTATGTGGTGCTGAGGATCAAACCCAGGGCCTTGCATGTGCTAGGCAGGTGCTCTACTGCTAAGCCACAACGTCAGCCCGATAATGTATTTTAAAACAGAGGAACAAAATATTATATCACTGTTTATACATATAATTTTCTTATTCCTAACAAAAAATAAAATTTAATAATGGTGCTGGGTGCGGTGGTATATGCCTGTAATCCCTAAGGCTCAGAAGGCTGAGGCAGGAGGATTTCGAGTTCAAGGCCAGCCTCAGCAATTTAGCAAGGCATTAAGCAACTCAGTGAGACCCTGTCTCTAAATACAATACAAAAAAGGGCTGGGATGTGGCTCAGTGCTTAAGTGCCCCTGGGTTCAATTCCCACTACAAAAAAAAAAATGATATCTGTTTTATTAGTTAAAGTAATGGTTCTGTTTTTAAAAATTCCCAAATGTGTGATGGCTAAAACACAACTAAATTTTCTCTTTTGCTGAAATAAACAACATAGTCAGTAAGTGGCTCTTCTCTAGGCTCCTCCCATTACGTGGCTCTGCCACCTCCAATTCACAACTTCCTAGAAAGCACTGTCCAGTACTTGATAATGTATTTTCAAAACAATGCCCATTTGCCTTTTTTTTAAGTATAAAAATGAAGAGCCATCAGGATTACATTAACCCCAGGTAGAGCTTCGTACAGTGAACACTGTAGGAAGCAAAGAAAGAATGTGAGTGGAATACTGCACCATGGAATGTCCACTGGAAAGGAAAAGAAGTTTTAACAACACAGGGGCACTAATGGACTTCAGAGGAAATATATGAAGAGATTAGAGGGCTTAAAGTGCAAAGTGTAAGGTTGCAAGAAAGCTGAAGGATAAACAGATTATGATCAGCAAATTATATATCAGGATTTAATATTGTGAAAATATTGCAGTCTAGTTTGGATGATGATGAAGAGCAAAGGTATGGCTTTGGGAGTAGAATTCATAGCTCCTCAGGTTCAGAATAGGCAAGAGGCTGCAAAGTTAGGGTGTTGGCCAGATTATTCACAGAGATGTTGAAATTTCCCACATGTCAAGGGCCAAAGTAAACAAAGGATAGGGCCCAGAAAGGATATAAAGTAATGTAGCTGTGTTTTAAAGGAGGAGAATTATAGCATGAGTTCATGGGTGTCAACATCCTAACAGTCCAATAGAGTCAGGACCATGTGAAAACAGCAATTTCATATTAAACCTAAGCCATGTTAAATTTAGATGAAATGATGGATTAAAAAGAAATCGTCCTTGCTCTGGCCTCTGGAGAGAAAAATTAAAACTCTCTTATGAGATTTACAAACATTCCATCTCATGGCTTTGACATTGAATGTATTCTTCCTAAATGGTCTGGGAAACCCCAAATTGAGAAAATCACATGAAAAGTGATCCTGGCCAGTTAGATCAGCAGTTTTTAATACTGGAAAAGAAGAGAGAAGGGTACTGGGGAATATCTAGCAGTCTGTCACATCAGTCCATATTTCTGTTGCAAAGAAAGATAATCAGTAAAATACTTTCAAAGACTAAAACAAACTACATCAACATCAACTAGGGAGCATTAAAATAAAGATACAACATCATAAAAGGAAGACATAAAGTTTCCAGTATCTCCCCTGTTGAAAATGCAAGCTCTAGAGCTAAAATCTATTTAATGGAAGTATGGAGCTAGAGGAACAAGTTAAATGACACCACACAGAAGCAAACACACACATCCAGAATATGGGAAATTTTATAGGCCACTCATTTCTGCACCAAGTCAGAGGTATGAGAAGAAAAGAATAAGAAATAAGAGAAGGTTCTTTAGATCAACAAAGACTTAGAGACACAAAACTAAAAAAGGAATGTCTGAACTTTGGATTCTGATTCAAATGAAACCATTAAAAGACATTTTGAAGGCAAGCAGAGATACCTAAATATCTGATGCAATGTGGCATCATGGTTAAGAAATTGGGTTTTAGAGATGTGAACTGCAGTGTGTGGAGGAAATGACTTGATGCTATTTATAATTTTTCAGTAAAGGAAACAAGAGAGGGGCTGGGGTTGTGGCTCAGTGGCAGAGTGCTTACCTAGCATGTGTGAGGCACTGGGTTCAATCCTCAGCACCACATAAAAGATAAATAAATAAAGGTATTGTGTCCAACTACAACTAAATATAAATATTAAAAAAAGAGAGAGAAACAATTTCAGATATAAAATATGGTACAGAGAGGGACTAGAGTTGTGGCTCAGTGGGAGAGCACTTGCCTAGCACGTGTGAGGCATTGGGTTCGATTCTCAGCACCATATAAAAGATAAATAAAATAAAATAAAGGTATTGAGTCCATCTACAACTAAAAAAATATTTAAAAAAGAAAACAAGAAAAGTGAGGAAAGAACAAACATGGCAAAATCCTGATAATCATTAAATCTGGGTGAGGAATATATCAGCGTCAACTATACTCTTATTTTTGTTTTTTTTGTTTTAGAATTTCATAGTCAAGAATTCAAAACTTTAGGAAACACATGAACAACTAGTCAGGTACACACGATCACTCTGCTATTTACAGAACTATCTCAGTTGTTTTTTTAGAAATATGTTATTCTTCCCAGTGCAGAAGCCCAAATGACACTTTGCCCTGCTTCCATTATGAAACACCAATCAGGAAAAATAAGCACTTTGTACCCTCAAATGAACCAACAATGACAAGGTCACCCCATCTAGCTCTAATTCACAAACTTAAGTACTTCCTGTAAATGTGGACTCCATAATAATATCCCCAACTTTCAAGATGTTAAACCCTGAAATAATGTTGATCTTTTGGATAAAACACAAGAAAAAGTTATGTTTCCCACTGTGAAGAAATGAATGCACACTAATAAGATTGCAGGATTTTTTTCTTTAAAAATTTTTGAGAGACTGGGGATGTAGTTCAGTGGTAGAACACTGGCTGGCGTAGCCTAGGCCCTGAGTTTGATCCCTAGTACCACCAAAAAAAAAAAAAAAATTAAATTCCTTTAAATGCTAAACCCATATTTCGGCTGGTCTTCTTTTTCTAACATTATGATTAATTTAACAAACATTTAAAGTATTTATATAAACTTTATAAATTGGCAAGATCAATATGATTTAGAAATGCACACATAGAGTCTGCGAGAGCAAAGCAGCAATGTGCTCGCCTGAATGGCAAGCTGTCTGCTTCTTGAGGGGTGATCTTAGTGAATACCCTGTGGCCTCACGCTGGGCCTTCTGCTTCCAGCATAGACATTCCATTATCCTTTCATCTGATTAGTTCCATAGTATCATAGGTCCTCGCAGTGGCCGTGGAAACCGCTGAGAGAGGGGCTCCAGGTCCTAAGCCACCCCGGCTGCAGGCAGCCGCATTATGTCCTCGTCATAATCTCCAGCCACCGCTGCCTCAGTACCTCTGCTATTTCATTTGCAGAAGCCCAGGTCCAAGTACCTCCTGTTGTTCCTGCAACTCCTTCACCCACAGCAGTACCTGAGGTGGCTTCTGGAAGAACTACAGATATAATCCACGCTGTTGCAGAACAGAGCTTCGCTGAACTGGGACTAGGGTCATACACCCCAGTGGGATTGACCCAGAACCTCCTGGAATTTATGCATGTTAACCTGGGCCTTCCTTGGTGGGGGGCCATTGCAGCATGTACAGTCCTTGCCCGCTGCCTCGTTTTTCCTCTCATCGTGAAGGGCCAGCGAGAGGCAGCCAAGATTCACAACCACTTGCCAGAGATCCAGAAGTTTTCCACTAGAATCAGAGAGGCCAAGTTGGCAGGAGACAATGCTGAGTTTTACAGGGCCTCCAAGGAGATGACACTTTACCAGAAAAAGCAAGATATTAAATTCTTTAAACCCCTCATTCTGCCTCTGACTCAGGCACTAGTCTTCATCTCTTTCTTCATTGCCTTGAGAGACATGGCCAACCTTCCTGTGCTCAGTATGCAGACAGGTGGCCTCTGGTGGTTCCAGGATCTCACTGTATCTGATCCCATCTACATGTTATGGATAGTAGTCACTGCTACAATGTGGGGTGTCCTAGAGCTAGGTGCTGACACAGGTGTGCAAAGTTCTGACCTTCAGTGGATGAGACATGTTATCAGAGTGAGCCCCTGGCAGTCTTGCCCATGCCATCCACTTCCCCTCGGCAGTGTTCATGTACTGGCTCTCCTCCAATATGTTTTCCCTGGGCCAAGTAGCCTGCCTCCGGCTACTGTACGCACTGTACTTAAAATACCCCAGCATGTTGTGCATGACCCTGACAAATTACCTCCCCGGGAAGGCTTCATAAAGAGCTTCAAACAAGGCTAGAAGAATGCTGAAATTGCACATCAGCTCCATAAGCGTGAACGACGCATGCAGAACCACTTGGAGCTAGCAGCCAGGGGTCCCTTACAGCAGACCTTTACCCACAACCCTCTACTACAACATGAAAAGAATCACCCTCCCAAAACCCCCAGCAGCAGCAACACCAACAACAGCAACAAACCAAAGTCAAAGCAGCCCTGGCGTGACACACTTGGCTGACTTGTGTTCTCTGCTCATTCTGTCAGGAACTCTGTCTCCTCAAAGAACCATCCTAAAGACAGACTTGAGGCTTTGTCCTTGTATCAGGCCTAGGAACTGTAGGATATGGAAATGTTCATTTTAAAAACTGATTCCACTACAAACTCTTATTCCTGCATATAAAAGTACAGGGGAGCCAAGCAATCTTCCTTTCCATAGGATTAGGAAACCTCTGTACTACATGCTGCTTCCTGATACTTTATTAAACAGAGAAATGGATTGTGTACTTCAGAGAAATGAATAGGTTGGGTCAAGATTGCTTTTGATAGCCCATGCTCTTGGGAAGTATCTGACCGTTTTCACCTGGCATTAAGACCTTACACTTCTACCCTGTGTGTGTGTTCCAGCCACATTTGCATTGTGGTCATAGAGAAATGACTGATAAGATTGTATTTAAGAATTATAACCACATTTCTTGATAACCTATACAATTTCCATTTCCATCAAGAAATAGATTACTCAGATTTTTAGTGAAAATTAAGAATGAAAGGTGATGTTTTTATGCAAAAACTTAAAAGGAAAAAAAAAAGAAATGCACACATAGACATTTATTGGGACTTTATACTTGATTAACTTTGGGTAAATGTTCAATTTTTAAATAATGGGCATTCCATTTTGGTTATAGGATTTCATATATACATATAAATACAATACACATACATATATATAATACATATATGTACCACATATAACATATATTGTTAGTTTGCAAGATCTGTGAAGCTGAGAGAGATTTATGTTTAAAAAAAGATTTCCATGATGACTGCGTATTGTCAGTTCTTCATTGTAATTCTTTCTTTTTTCTTTGTATTTTTCCAGCTTTATGTTAGTTGCATACTTGTTTGTAATTGTACTATTTCCTACAGGATTCTTCTTTGTGATATAATAAGAGTCAAATTTTTGTCCTTATTAATGTTACTCAATAAATAATACTTGACAATTAATAGTTCCAAAAAGTTGTTTGATTTATAATTCGTGTAGTATGTCTTTTTCTTTTTTTTTTTCTTTTCTATACTTTAGTTGTTTAGTTTTAAATATTTTAGTAGCTTTAGTCTTAATTGTCTTAGGAATAATAGTATGGCTTGTTAATGAGGTATGTAGCTCACATGTCCTCTCTGTTGGGCTATCTCTTCTCACTGTCTGGATGTGACCTTCAATAAACTTTCTGTTTTTCTGGCATCTTTAAGATCTTGGGATCTTCAATGCAGCTCCAGTTTCACTTTCACAGCTTCATAATTGCCCTCTCAGGGGCCACTCACAGGCATTCCCACCCTGCTCACACATTGCCTGGCCTCCCAGGCCTTCCTTTGAAATCTCAGTGGAAGCCTCCTTGGTCCCCTAACTCCAACATTTTGCATTCCTCTGAAACCAGCACCAATGTGGATGAAGCCAAGGTCCACCACCAACTTGAACAGTAGCAGGCCTGCTTGGACTCTGGCTGTAGTGGTCTCTGAGTGCCTGGATGACTGAGCACAGTGAACCAAATCCTGGGGAAATATCTTTCTAGGTGGCCCTGTGGCAGCAGGGTGCTCCTACAGTCTCTTCTTAAAGCAAAGTTTTTCAAATGAGTCTTCATTTTTACACCTTTGAGCCTGTGAATAATGGGATCTTACTGATTCCTCAGGTGCCCTCAAGGCAACTTTCCTATTATCTCTGTGCAAAGAACTTGGTTTCTCTTTAATGGCTCTAATATGTTTAGCAACCACAGTTTTATATGTACTTTTCTGATTAAACTACAAATATTTTAAATCTTTCTGCTCTGCTTTTTTATCCTAATTCTCACAGTACACCTAGCCAAAAGCTACCAGCAATACTCATGCCACTCCTCAAATGCTATGCTGCCTTGAAATTTCCTCCACCCAATTAATTATCCCATGACTTTAAATTCATCCTCATTGAAATACCCAGGACATGCACAAAATGTACCCAAGTCCTTTGCCAGAATGTAACATGAATGACCTGTAGTCCAGTTTCCAATAGAGTCCTCACAATTCCATCTGAAACCTCATGAGCTGGGCAAAGTGGCACACACTTGTAATCCCAATGACTCAGGAGACTGAGACAAGAGGATCACAAATTCAAGGCCAGTCTCAGAAACTTAGCAAGACCTTGTCGGAAAATAAAATTAAAAGGGCTGGGGACATAGCTCAGTGGTAAAACCCCAGGTTCAATCCCCAGTAATAAAAACAAAAAGTCTGAAACCTATGCACACAATCTTTACCATCCTGTTGGCATTCCGGTCCTTTGAGCTTCCACCGTAATTGCCCACTAAATTCTGCCTACAACATTTTAAGGCCTCTCTAGTCTGCACCTCCAGACTTTTCCAAACTTCTCTCACAAACCAGTTCCAAACACTTCTGAAACACATGGTCAGGTATAGTCACAGCAAAGCCCCCACTTCTGGTACCAAAATCTGTATTAGGTAGGGTTCTCTAGAGGAATGGAACTAATAGGAAATGTATGTGTACCATTATAAAACAGGATTTATTAGGGTGTCTTACATCATCAGAAGCTGGACAGTTACTCAATGACTATCTGCACACTAGAGAACCAGAAGAACCAGTAGCTGCTCAGTCCAAGAAGCTAGAGCCTCAGAATGAGAGGGACCAATGGTGCGGCCTCATCCAAGATTAGAGGAATGGAAACTCCCTCAGGAATAGCTTTACAGTGGAAAAGTGAAGAAGCTGGGTCTGACATCCACACACAATGGTATCAGCAATAGACACACCTGCTTAAGAATAACAGAGCTTGAATCTTCTACGACTTCCTCTGTTCACTTTGCTGCTTCTGGGTTTCCTAGCTACAGGACAGTGCTGCCCACATTCAGAGCAAATCTACCCTTCAGTTTACTGTCCCACATGCCAATGTCTCTGGAAACACCCATTAATCTCTTAATCCTAGGTTTATCTCAATCCAATCAAGTTAATAATGCAGATTAACCATCACAGATATATTAACAATACTCTCTTCCAGTCCTCTAGCATAAGCTATTTCTTTGTCTTCTTCAGTTTCTTTCACCAACATTTCATAGTTTTCATTATATTAGTCTTTCATTTTCTTAATTAGATTGATTTATAATTTTTACTGTTTTGATGCTACTATTAACTGTTTTCTTAATTTCATTTGGGGTTGTTATTGTTAGTGTATAAAAATATAACTGATGATATTGCTATGATATCCTTCAACTCTGCTGAATTTAGTTATTTTAACAATTTTTGTGGAATATTTAGGATTTTCTACATACAAGACAATGTCATCTATGAGCAGAAACTATTTCTTCTTTTCTAATTTAGAGAATTTTATTTCTTTTTCTGTCTAATTGCTCTGGTTAGGACTTCCAATACTATACTGAATAGAAGTGTTGAGAGCAGGGATTCTTGCCTTTTCCCTGATATTAGAGGAAAAACTTTCAGTCTTTTCTCATTTAATATGTTAGCTGTGGGCCTTTTGTAGGTAGCCCTTATTCTGTGGACATAATGTCTTCTATTCTTAATCATTCAGTGAAAAGATATTGCATCCTGTCAACTGCTCTTTCTGCATCTGTTGAGATGATTTTATGTGTTTTGTCCTTCATTCCCTTAATGTAGTATATTATACTGAGTGATTTTTATATGTTAAACCATCCTTGCATCCTAGAAATAAAGATCACTTGGTTAGAATGCATACTCATTTTAATGTGCTGTTGAATTTGGTTTGATGAATATTGCTATGATATCCTTTAGTATTAGTACCATACTAATCTTTTTATTGTTCTAAGTTTAGACACTATCAAAGGAACACATTTATGGCTTTATTTTTAAATGCAGCATAACATGAAAATGCTTTGAATATTAATTATCAGGTTACTGTCTCGAGGAATGAGAATTCAATTCTGTGCTTCAAATATTGACAAATATTAAGATAGCCATGTTCTAGTTCTACAGATTGTTTTATTTGAGGAATTGAACATTACCTCCTACATAATATGCTTCAATCTGAATGTCAAACAACAACAACAAAAAAAAGCTTATTGGGAAGGTACCAAGAAACAGTTTGGCCAATAGCATTGGATTTTCATGTTTATGACATATGAAATGTGTCTATAAACATACAATAAATAAAGAGTATGAGTAAGATGTTCCAGGAACTCCATTCTTCTCCAACGAATACAATAATTCAAACTCTAGGGTAATTAAAATACAGCCCTTTGTATATAGTAATGTGTGAGTACATAGTGTGACAAAGAATCTCTCCTTGATCAAATTCCAGCCAGGTTCTTCTGAGTCCTTTCTCAACTAACCTCCAGGGATTTGAACAAAACACTAATGCAATTTCTAACAGCTCTGTACCACAGCCCCAGGATGACCGAGTGTGTTAGTAGGTGTTCCACTGCTGTGACAAAATTAGTTGAGAAAATCAACTTACAGAAGGAAAGATTCATTTTGGCTCAGAGTTTTGAGGTTTCAGTCCATGGTCAGTTGGTTCCAAGGCAAAAACATCATGGCAGAAGGGCATGGTGAAGGAAAAATCATTACCTCAAGCATCTGAAAAGGAGAGAGGGAGAGACCTTAGAAACAGAGAGGAGGAGGAAGGGGCTAAGAACAAGATATAACCATCCAGGGCATGCCCCAGTGACCTACTTCCTGCAATGAGTCCTCACCTCCTACAGTTTCCATACCTACCCGAATAATACAATCAGATTATTAATCCATCCATGGATTTATCCAAATGAGATCAGAGCCATCATGATCCAATCACTTCCCAAGAGTCCCACTTCTGAGCAAAGCTAAATTGGAGACCAAGCCTTCAACACATTAGTCTTTGGGAGAATTCCAGAGCCAAACTATAACACCCAGGACCTGCTTAAAACATCCGCCTGAGAAATCTCAAGGCTGTCAAAAGAGTTTATTATTTATTCCAGCCACCACCTGAGATTGTGTCCCTGTCTCTCAGCCTCTCTGGGAAGATGGGAGCCAAACTTCCTTAATCTCCATTTAACAGTGAACCTAGATGGATTGCACACGGACCAACCCCTTCCTTCTTATTTTGTAACTTTTCATTGCCCCAATGCTGAACCTCCCAGTTCCCATTCCTTCACTACCACTCCATTCCCCTATTCCTTTACTATCACCTCGGTTCAACCTGAAGTTCAGTTCAGTTCATGCTGGAATCCTCCCTATTATAACAGCATACTACCGATTAAAACCTGTCTTCACTTTAACTAGTGGCTTTATCTTTGACAAGACCAAAAAGGTGGATTTCTTTTTCCCCTCAGAGGCAGAGGCTTCTTTAGAAAAGTAGGCACATATTCAAGGAAGAATGCACGCCATCTCCAGAGGGAGGACAGGCCGGATTCTTTGTTCTGAGTAGAGGTCTTACCATATGGCAGGCACTGGGGACCATGAGAGACGCGATTCTTTAGAGTTAAGTTCCAAAGGTCTTTTACTTTTGGAAACTGACACCAGGTAAATGGAATTCCTACTCGGCTTCTCAATTCATTGGATTTGCAGGGACTGGCCCGAGATTGGAAATAGATTAACAGGTGTGTACAACGCTCAGGGATGATTTGTCAAATTCCTGGAAACCTTCTGCCAGACGAGACCCAAACTGGGAGCACAGGAAGAAGAGAATCTCGCAACAGAACTTAGGACACGAGGAAGCCAAAGGAGGAAACAAAACTGTACCCTCTACCCAAGAAAACCAGGAGCTGCTCAGAGCCAGAAAACCTCACCGCCCGAGGGGATCTGCGCCTGCGCACTGGAGGGCACCCGCCACAACACACGCGCGGTCCCTGGCGACGGCGCATGCGCCATAGCACCGCAGCCCCCCCCCCCCCGACTCGCAGCGGTAGTATCTACAACAGGCGTCGAGGGTTGCTAGGGAGAGGAGTGGAACACTTTGTGCTAGCTGTTCTGCGGTTTTCGAAGTGAGTCATCTGATAGGCGGTGTTCGGGCACAGGTGAATTCACAGCAGAGTCCTTGTCTCCGATCTTGTAATGTGTTCTTAGTGTTATCTCATGACACTCAGATGCTAGTATCCGGAAAGCCACTGAAAGTTAAATATCAAAGTTTGTTTGGAAACAGCTCCTGCCTGGGAGGAGGGAGAGTGTTTTTATCTGAAGACACCCACGAAGTGATGAACACTTCAATATGTCATCCCTCCTTCGACCTCCGTAGGGCTCAGAATTCTAAAGCTGAGTGATAGTTGGTTGGAAAAAAGGAAATGGACACACGGAGACCCTTACATATGCCCAGAATATTCTTGGTTATGAACCGGCGACTGATGAGTGTATTCATTCCTTCAAGGGGTGGGAGAATTGGATGGCTAGAGGATGGGATGGAAAAGAAAGAGGGTTTGTTTGTATTGTATGAAATTTGTCCAGTGTGCATGTACTACTTTTTAAATGTTTGAATGTTCACTTGACACATTTATCAAAATGTAGACACCAAGGACATTCAGGAATTTAAGAGGACTGAGCAGAATTCTTTTAGTAATGCGGGATAGAATTATCTATACATGCGAAGCTAAAATGTCTTATGTAAAGCACAGAGTCTTCCTGTTTATTTCTGGACAGAGATCTATGGGGGGTTGGTAGCAGGAGACAGGAAAAGAGGAGCCAGGCATTTTTTGAAAATTTTTGGCAATGCTATCATACAGGAAACTGACATCTTTATCATTTCAATCATTGTGTATTCATTTTGGATCTGCTGAAGAGCATTGAAAGACAAATGTTTGTGTGAACTCCCTGAACTCAAACATGGATCGGAAGGGGAATTTAATCTTTATTTTTGTAAAGGTAATTAATCAGATGTGACTATTAGGGTTAAGGCCCAAAGTTCCTCTTCTAGTTAAGAAAACTTCCTTTGGTGAGAAATGTCCACATTGGTTAAGGTGTAGTCCCATCCCCAACCAACCTTGCAAGATAATTTTGGGCTTCCCTTCTCTAAGGGAAGTGTCAAAAGAAAAAATTAAACAGGCAACTGTACCTAAGAGGATTTGCAGACAAAATGTTCATGCAAATCTGAACACCTCTCATTTGCTAGTCAAGCTGAACTTTGTGTCCCAAAATAATACTGGGTCTAGGCAAGGGTACCAGAGGATGGGAATCCAAAAAATTTGAAAGTATGAAGTTCAAGGATAGAGGTTATAATTTGTTACTTTTGGGTTTCCCTTGTTTATAAGTAGAAAGCCAGAAGTTGAGCTCCCAAATAAAATATTCTAGGAGTTATGTTTCTTAAGTAACTCCAAAAATTAGTACATCTATGAAGAAATAAATCCTACAAAGAAATAAGCCAACTGGCTAATATATCAACAGACAGAGTAGGGCCTGGAGATTCCTCTACAGAGGAGGAAAAACACATCACAGAGAAGCATACTTGATACAATTTATTTTAAAAAAGAAGAAAAATAATTTATGTCCTTGGCAAAATAAAAGATCTAGTAATACAAATATTTCTTAGAAAACATGAAAAGATAATATAACAAATATTAATAAATCAATATTAACATCATAGCAAAAGTGATAATGATTCTGTAACAATGACAAGTGAGGATATTTTTGGCCCATACACAGCAGTATTTCTTGAAGGTCCTCTGATTTCTCTTTTCTCTTAAAACAAGATGTGGTCTCATTTTAAGAAAGCCTGATGCATGTAAAACTAAATTTAGGAAACTGATCAATTAAAGGTATTTATCTGCATCACAAAATAATTCTTTACCAAAATAATCCATGAAAATGTTTCTTTAAATGATCCTTCAAATAGCAAATTTCCAAATGTGTTTAGAATAAAACCAGCCAGATAACTGTTTCTCTGTGGCAAAAGTGAGGTATACCTGAAATGAGGCAGTAACAGAGTTGGGCGTCAGACCTGTCTGGACAGTGTCCTTACTTAGACCATAAGGAAATAGTTGGGGGCACCTGTTCTCACAGTCTTTTGTTTCTCCCATCTTGAAATCTTACTTTTATAGGCTTAACTGCTTTCTGGTAAACTTTGTTCACCTGGTATTCTCAGGAAAAAAAGGAGGAAGCCACATGAGAGGGGGACAAATTAAATAACTAGTGAGTCACTCCAGCCAAGCAGAGCGAGAGGAGAATCTGGGGTTCAGAGTGTGCATGTGGATGTGAACGGGGGAAAGTAGGAACAATCCTGAATCCCTGACATGGTGCTTTTGAGGCTCCTCTCCCTGTGGGGGTGTCTGACTCACTGAGGAGCAGCAGAGCCCAGTCCAACCCTCCTCAGAAGGGACACATCTTCAGGAGAATAGAGGAGGATCTATTTGTCACACTCCTCCTGGCTCCCTTCAGTACAATGATAGTGCTGTTCACAGAACTCCTGGATCCGGCTACAAGCCTCCAGCATCATCACCTCAGGGACAGTAATTACCACCCGGAAGAAATTCGGGTACTCGAAGCACTGCAAAAATAAGAACCTGTTATTTTCAGAGCAATTAAATCTGGCACTGGACCACCCTAAAACAGCAGGTCTCTCACCAGCAAGAAGTGCTGGCGTTTCACCTGGGGTATCCATCCACCCCGTCCCCATCACTAGGGTGCTGAGTCAGTAACTGAGTTAATTCATCTTGAAATGGACTGTGGGACAAGCTTGAATGTGTCTCGTCTAGCATGTTTGTTATAAACATGGGTTATCTCACCCATTATGGATGAGATAATGACGGGGAGAAACAAACTTTAAATTGAAGTCATGAGACATATAAGTGTGAATCATGACAAATGAGAATATACTTTGTTGGAGGGGAAAAGGTCAGGCTAGCACCTAGCTCAGGGAGAGCTGGGGGGGTGGGGCTCTAGAAACTGTTGAGAGTGCATAAGCACTCACCGTTGCTGGGAGGCAGTGGACAGACTGTTCAGCAACTAACCGCTCTGTGAACTCCACATCGTTTTCAAATTCTGGGAAGTGTTCCATCTCAATTCCAACCTGTACCAATAATAAAAGGGAGAGGACAACTTATCAGAAGGAGGGAAAACAGGCCAATTTCCTATGCCAGAAATTAGGGTAGGAACTGCTTTAAAAGATATCTTGGAACTCTGCTACTGATAACTAAGCGTTCTGGCACTTGTAAATGTGTGGAATTTATCACAGGGAAGAACGGATATATTTATATTCATATTTTAGTTTGTTACAGAGTTCCTTCTTGGGTGTTGATAAATGAAAGGAAACAGAATGCCAGTGTTTCTCAACAGAGGTACGATTAACATTAGCGTCAGGTCCTTCTTTATTGCATGGGACTGTTTCACCCATTGTAAGATCTTTGGAATTCCTGGCCCACAAAATGGCAATAGCACCCTTAAGTCATCCTGAAAACAAACAAAATTCCCATACAGTTCCAAATACCCCTAGAGGACCAGAATCATTCCCAGTTATGAGCTATAAAGTAGCTTGTTTGCATCTTATAACTTCCCTGTACTACATATAAAATGATTATCAGTACCACGTTTTGAGAACTTTGAGATTAAATCTTATAAGTGGAACAATTCAGAACAAGGCAATTCTCAACTGTCTTGTTCAGGGGCCTAGCCTTTGTGAATGCAGCATGCCCTGCACAACCCCATAAGCAGCCCTGCCTACCACCTTCCCATGCTTTACAACATGCATGGACCTACTGCCTCTCCCCGCCCACACACCTACTTACCATGAGATACATGGCCCCAGAAGGGCGGACCGGCTGAAGCCCAGGGATGGCAGCCAATGCCCCATAGCAAAGATCAGCATTGGACTAAAAGAGGAGGTAGAGAGAACATCAAGGATCAAATTGTAAGTAAAAGAAAAACCACATCATTAAAAGACTCCTCAGTGAAAGCTGGAAACTTGGGTTTGATCTTCTGGCATAAGGAGTCAACAAGAAAAACTCTATCACTCAGAGTTCCTGGCCAAGAGCAGAGTGACTTACCAGAAGTGAGAGTATGGGTGAATTCTTACATGATGCCATTTCCTGATATTGAAGTTCCATATTAGAATGGTGCTCCAGAAATGGGATCAATCATTCCTAATTCCACTGCTGGTATTCTCCGACTCCCAAACTCCCCAAGTAGAAGTCCATAGGCTGCCCTTACCTTGAGGAAGCTTAGTGTGTTGTGGTAGAACTCTTGAGGGGTACGGCGCAGGATGCTTTTCAGAGCTCCCTGGACAATGGTACAGGGTCCCAAGATCCGCTGACTCAGCTTCACCAGCCCATCTCGAATCTAGAAGTCCCCCCAAGAAATGCATTATTCATCTTACTTACGCATCCCTGTTTGGGGGATTCTTATTCTGACCTATCAGGTTTTTAATGCTAGGAAGTAATGCGGCCTAATGACATCTTAGATCAGGTCACTAGGTCTATAGCATAGCTCTGTCATACACCTGCTGGATGACTAGGCAAATAATGTAACTTCTCTGTACCTTTCTCAACTGTAAAATGGAGTGAATACTAATACTAGCCTCATAAGGTTGTTGTGAGAATTAAATTAAAACTGTTCATAAAGCATAGGTACATGGTTCACCCTCCAGCACTATTAGCTGTCATTACTGTCATTGTTTCCCTTTCCTGTAGTCCTAAAACTGGAGGTGGATGGAACTTCTTCACAAAGCCAGATATGTGAAAACTGAACTTGGGAGAGCTATAACTATTCCCATCTTTATCTAGTGTTTCCAGACACCATGAACTATAAGGCCAAGAAGAAAGGGGAAGGGTCCTACCTTCTCACTACTATGCATATATATCCTAAATCACACATCCTATTGCACCACATTGCCCTCACCTCATTGCCAAAAATGTCTCTTCTGTCATGGATAAGGATCCAGCCCAGCCTCCAGCCAGGAACCAGCCAGCGCTTAGCCAGCCCTCCACAGGACAGGATGGGGACATTGGTGCTGAGGGTGGCCAATGGCTCATATTTGCAATCTGAAAACACCTAAGGAGAAGAGATCTTCTTGTTTACTTCTCTCTGTACCCCATACCTCCACCCTTTTCCTTCTATCTAGAGGAACAGGGATTCAGATTTACAGGTTCATTTCTACCCTAAAGCATGATCAGATTTCCAAGAGGCTTCAAAGGGAATTATTTAAAACATTTAATTCCAGGTCTAGTCTGGATGAAAGGAAGCCTAAAGTGGGGAAACGGACTCTATCCCAGTAGTGCGTACAACTTCATGAAGCCAGCCTTATGGAATTAGTGACTATTAGAGTTCTAGATTTAAAAATAAAACATGGGTCCATAATCCCTTATCTAAAATTCCTGGGCCCAGATGTGTTGCAGAATGCAGAACTGTCTGGATTTTGAAAAGACTATACAACACATGTACCACACATTATGAAACATGCCCACAGCAGTCTAGGATAATTAAGAATATTAATATTTCTGCCACTTTCCCTGCACTCTTAACAAATATATATCCACACATGGGATAAATAAAAAATCTACAGATATATCAGGTCAGCTCAGAATTTGCAACCAAATAAATTTCAAGTATCTTTGGATTTTCAAGGCTTATGGATTAAAAAAAAAAACTGACCAAGGAGTCATGGATCTATACATTTGTTAAGTTTCCAAGGATGCTGAATTGCTACAGGGAAATGACTAGGAGTTGCTTCTGATTGTTTCACTTGCCAATTTAAGAATTCCCATGAAACAATTTGGGATAGAGATTATTGTAGTTTTATATCCTGACCCAGACTCACCATGTCTCCATAGATCTCATCAGCAAGGATGGGGACACACTGCCTTGCGGCCACTGAAAATAAGAAAATCATGCTGAAATCATTTTTAAAGCAAATTTCCCTCTCATTTAATATTCACCTACTCTTATTATTGCTAATTTCATGTCTCTTTGTGCGGTCTTCCTCTTCAAGAACTGTAAATCTTTCTGATATTCTTCCAGGCTGTGGGGCCTAAATTTGCCATTTAATTAACTAGATATTTCAAACTCTCACTTCCACATGATGGGATTGGTGATGAAGTGAGTACAGGTAAAGTACCTGTCCAAGATTTTCAGGACCAGAAGTGTTTCAGATTTTGTATTTTTAAAATTTTGAATATTTACATAGATTTTTCCAGTTCAACTTTCCTAATCCAAAATCTGACTAATCCAAAGTGCTCCAGGGATTTTGGGATGAGTGATGCTCAACCCATAAGTATTTCCTTTTTATCCTCCTTTCGGCAGGTCCTACCATTCCAATGCCACACAATGGACTAGAGACATCAATGGAGTCCTCTACCTTCATCACAGGCTTGGAATATAGGAAAGAATATTAATATTCTTTTTCATCATTCCAGGAAACTGCTAAATGACCCCATTCCTACCTCCTCCTCTGGACTTACCTGCCAGAATCTTCTGAAGATGACTCTTACTGAACACTGACCCACAGGGATTTGACGGGTTGTTAACAATGACACAAGCTGTCTTTTCATCAATCAGAGATTCCAGTTGTTTCAGGTCAATTTCCCAAGACTTCTCTGGCTGGGGAGAAAGAAAGAGGGAGACCAAGATGATTGCAGGGGGAATACTCAACCCAAGGGTGCAGTGTAAATAACAAAATTTGTCTTTGGCCTCAACCACCCACTGCCAGAGCCTTTTCTTTTCTTCTTTTTTTAAGAGCTTTATTGTTATACATAATAGTCGGGTTCATTCTGACAAACTCACACGTGCATGGAAATTGATTTTATTCATGGTCCCTTCTTTTCTCCTCCCCCTTTTCTCTCCTGTTCTCCCTGCCCTCTCCCATTCTCCTTCCTCTACTCTATTAGACTTCCTTTCACCTATTAATTTAAATCCAATTGGTTCTTTATGTTATCCTTTCCTTCCATCCCCCTTTCCTTTATTTTACGCTAGCTTCCACATATGAGAGAAAACATTTTTTCACCTTTGCGTTTGAGTTTGGCTTATTCCACTTAGCATGATATTCTCCATTTCCATTTACCAACAAATGCCATTATTTCATTCATTTTATGGCTGAGTAGAACTCCAATGTATGTATATACCACAATTTCTTAATTCATTCATCTATTGACAGGCATCTGGTTTGATTTCATAATTTAGCTATTGTGAATTGGGCTGCTATAAACATTGAGATGGACGTGTCTCTGTAGAATGCTGATTTTAGATCTTTGGGGGAAATACCAAGGAATGGGATAGCTGGGTCATATGGTGGTTCTATCCCTAGTTTTTTGAGGAGCCTCCATACTGTTTTCCAGAATGGCCGTGCTAGTCTGCAGTCCCACCAACCATTTAGAAGTGTCCCTTTTCCCCCCACAGCCTCACCAGCATTTTTGTTGTTCACATTCTTGATCATTCCATTCTGCCAGACTCTTGTCTTTGAGGTAAAAGTCATAATTTTATAGGGTAGTAATTGAGCACTTGAATCTAAAATTAAAAAGTCACTTACCAATAGATTATATAGTTTGACCTCAATTCCCATAGATTCAGCCAAAGTCTTGTAGAGAGAAAAACCGGGTCTTGGAATGAGGATGTTTTGTCCTGGATTGGCCAACACAGCTAAACAAAGTTCAATAGCCTGACTGCAGCCACTTGTCAGAATGACATCCTGTGAAGATAAAAAAAAAAAAAGGTTTAGTTCTCTTAGGGGTTCCAACAATCACAGAAGAAAAGACCTTGTGAGATGGATATGGGTGAGTTAGGAGCAGTAATGAACCAAAAAGTTTTATGTAAAATAGTAAGAACTATACTAAGCCAAAACCAAACATGTGTCCATACCTAAATGTTGTTGAAAATGTTGGCCACTTGAAAGAAATAAACAAATCATTCTTATAAGGATAAGTTGTGGGGGGAGGATAAGTTGGCTATGACTCAGCCAACTTCCATAAGAGACCTTGGGCTGACCTGGGCATTTTTAGCCTGGCTATTTACTTAATTGTGGCCAGAGACTTGAAATCTGGCTCTTCTCTGAAGCACAGATGAAGGACACCTCTTATGTTAGGAAATGTCTACCCCACACCGCAGACAATAGAGGGAAGGGCGGCATCTAAACTTGGCACTGCCATCAATTTGTATGCTGTTGGAATATCTCTCTTTCTGAATGCCCTAGGTGAATGAAGAAAGCTACAAATTAACATGATCCTATTGGCAAATTTTTTAATTTAATTATTTGGTGTTTGTGAGTTGTGTTTCAAATGGTCTTCTGCATAACATCAAATCTAGGGTGACCTCTGGGTCCTTTGAGACTCCTTGTGATAGACACCCCAGATATTATAAGAGACATCCATATCATACTATGATGACATTAAATATAAGCACTGATTAGTGGTCCCAATTAATAAAAAGTCCTCAAATTGCTAAAGGGAAATTATCCTCAGTGTCCCCCACCCAGACAATTACTCCTATAAAACATAAACAAGGAAAGGGGATACAGTTTGCCCTAAATTGCTTCCAAGCTGGTACTTTGACTAAGGCTCACCTTAGCTTCCAATGGTGCCTCAGGACAGTGGAAATAAGAAGCAACCTCCTCCCGGCTAGACAGGTATCCTGAAAGAAGAGCAGGGAGAGGAAGCTGGCGATTTCTCCTCCAACTGACAACTGTGCCCTAGAGTGTCAACATGGGCTTCAAGCTGCCTCCTGTCCCTGCTCAAAGCAATCTGTTCAGCTTAGCTCTCAGCCATTGTAGATCAAGGTGATTAACTGATATTTTATATCTTACAATTTTATTATATTCATTGTCAATAAAAGAAACAGATCCCCAAACTATAAAATATTTTATGTAATCTTGATTACTGTGATTATGTTTTGGTCTCTAAAAGATAAAAGATTTAAATTATTCCTAAGTCCATTATAGGAACTACAGTTTTTGAAAAGTTGTCATCAATGCATTGAGTAAGTGTGGTCCATTTTATATTTTTTTATATTATATGTTTATAAGTTTTTGTACAAATTTTTTCTTTGAAACTATATTCTTGTACAATATTTCCACCTTTGGCTTATAAGCCTGAAGTTTTGACAGTTTCATGCCCATTATAATATTTTGTAAAGCTTCTATCCAAAAAGGCAAGTTATCAAGGCCAGGGGCAACATTTCATGTTTCTTCATTTAATAGAAACAATGGATCCCTTGAAATTATATAAATCAGCTCTCCATTATGAGTGAGGAGAAGCAAATTCCTAGTTATACGTTATTGTCTGTATTTCCTTTGGCATGAGATGTTCAGATCCTCCAACTGTTTGTCAAAGGAGATTTGGTTTTGGTTTTCTGGGTTGGATCAGTTCCCTAATACTTTGGATATTAAAGTCAGAAACTTATTATGTAACTTTTGTGTTGATTTTTGCTGTATTAAATTGTCTAATGTGGGACTGGAGTTTTGGCTCAGCGGTAGAGCCCTTGTCTAGCATCTGCGAGGCCCTGGGTTCAATCCTCAGCACCACATGAAAATAAATAAATAAAATAAAAGGTATTGTGCCCAACTACAACTAAAAAATAATTTTTTTAAAAAAATTATCTAATGTGTAAGTAACCCAACTAAAAACACAGTCCTGACACCTGTTTGAAGCACTTTGTTTTGTTTTTGTGGTACTAGATACTTAATTCACACGTGTTAGGCAAGTGTTCTAAAAGTGAGCTGCTACATCCCCAGCCCCTTTTTAAAAAATGTTATTTTGAGACAGTGTGTTGGTAAGTTGCAAAGGCTGACCTCAAACTTGAGATCCTCCTGCCTCAGCCTCCCAAGTATCTGGGATTAAAAGGTGTGCACTAATATACCCAGTATGAAGCAATTTTAAAATCTGATCTTAACATTTAACTGGATTTTTATTCTATACTAAGAATATGTTCCTATGTACACATAAACACAGGGAAGAAAATGTGCAACACTGACAGTAATCACTTATTTTACCAAAATATTTTGGGCAGAAATTTTTGACAAATGGAGAATGTTAAACCTAAATAGAAAAACTTTCTAACAGAAAAACCTTCTATCCTTCAGTATGGCTGCCTGTTCTGCCGTGTGTGTGTGTGTGTGTTGTTTTGACCTTTCTACCTTAAATAGTTACAATTGCATTTCAATGTGATCAGAACCACAATGAAAATAAGCCTTTAATATAAAGAGAAGGAGAAATAAAATGAAGGAACTATTTACATAGGGCGGTAAGTAAATTAATGTAGGATCTAGAGGTCTCAGCAAACAAGCAGTTCCAGCCAGACTCAAGGCCTTTCTATTAGAATTAGTAATGATGGGTTGAGAGCATTATTTGAGAAGTAAGTCTGTTTGAGAGTCTAGAGGGGAGGGGCCAGCATGCCAAAGGGAGCCCGGAAAGAAGTTAGACCTTCAACACATTGAAGCATCTGGGGCAAGACTCTTTTCCCCCAAACCAAAGGGCTATTTAATCTAGAGTTGGTAGGAACGATCTCCTATTAAAAGAGCTAAACATTTGAAAGCCACCAGGTATATTCTCAACAGGAGCCTACCTATGGATGGGGCATAACCATTGTATTTCCCAGAGTCCAGGGCATCTTTCATTGCTTGTGTAACTTCAGGATCGGTAGGTAGGTTTCCAAACACAGTTGGGTCTCCTATTCATAGGAGGGGAAAAAAGCCAAAAAGAGCCCAGAATTACTCTTCCATGTTCAGTACTCAGATTCATTTCTACCACCATCTTCTCCAACCAGCCCATGAGGATTGGAGAGACAATACTACCCCTCCATCAAGTGTCCCCAACTCACCAATGGACAGAGAAATCATGGCTTTGTTTGGATTAGGCTTCACCTTCATGCTGTCCACAATGGCCCGGATGGGATTAAAAGTTTTGTCAGACATGTCAGAGGGCTTCACAGACCACCTGGCCTTCCTGCCTTTCATTTTTCCCAGTCCAGAGCTTTTCCCATTGATATTGACGTGCACATCCAGAACCGGGGAGAGGTTGCCATCGCCATTGGTGTGAATCATGTAGGGGTCCATCACTAGAGAAGCCTATGAGGAAAGAAGGTCTTGTGAGGCAGAGCAGGGGTGGGCAGCTATGTTTGGATCTAAACATCAGGGTGACATCACTGGATGTCTCTTTTCCAAACATTTTTGCTGCCTTCTCTTATAAAGTAGCTTTATTATAAATAATGAAAGTTTTAAGGCTTTTTGCTGAGATGGAAAACAAAACAACCTATTCTACAACATCAACAGGTCACATTTGGTTGAATATTTATCTACTGTTCAGTAGGATTTGCTGGGTACAAACATAATCGCGCAAAGGCAGAAGGATTCTCTAAGGAAAACCAAGGGAAAACGATACAAAGAAAAAGTGCTGCCCCATTTCTATGAAAAACCAATTTGAGAAAGAATCTCCTTTAATTCTTCAACACTCTGTGTCTGGCCCTGGGTGGAAAAAGAAGTTAGCACATGGGAGAGAAAAGTGTGAGCGCTCCACTCACCACCACCACATCACTGAGGTTTGAGATTTACCTTCCACATGGGGGAGATGCAACCTCCAAGCAGCCAAAGCTGAAAGCTCACCAGTCCTCTGACAAGTTACCCGTGGCAATGAACTCAGGTACAAATTCCGACTCCTAAAATAGTCTCCACTAATGGGCGTTGGACCTGAAACTTTTATGCTATTGGTTAGGGGTAAGAGCTAAGTTCTCGCCTGGGCCTCTCTTCTCCCCTTGACTGTTTCTCACCTGCTGCCACCCTCCAATCATGAATGTGTCCTCACTTCAAACATCTGGAATTCTCTGTTAATCCTTTCCAGGCACTGGGTTAGGTCTTTCAGAAAACTACCAGAGGGCAGTTATGATGTCAGTAGGTAATTTTTATTAAATCTCTTTTGTTACAAAACATTCTATTGAATTTTTAACAGTACAGAAATACATAAAGTGAAAAGGTGAAAGTACTTTCTTGCCCCCCTCTGTGTGCACACACTCCATTCTCCTTCCTGGGGGTAGGGATTGTAGGCATTTGACTCCTTCTGTCATTCACCAAAAAAAGATGATAGCTGGATTAAGATAGACCCAGATGCATACTTTCAGGAGTTTCAAAACAGAGGGAATCACATTCTACGACTTGCTTGACAAGGTCTTTTTTTATTTCCTACATCTTGTTCCCCTTTCCTTAACAGTCCCCAAAGTTTCAAACTCCAATTAGAAGAAAGGTGGACAGTTGAAATAAATGGTCACTCAACAAATAGCTTAAAAGGTCAGGGTCTCCAAGGCAGCTAAAACTTGTACAATTGTATCCTTCTATGTAGGTAAAGCCTCCTTCATTTATCAGCTGTAGTATTATTGAAAGAATATGATACAGATGACATCTACAAAACAAAAGCAAAGTCACAGTCCTCAGCAGGAACCACAATATTCCTGTGAGTTAATGAAAATATCGGTGACTCCCAGGGCTCAGATCCCATCTGTTTATTTGTTTGGATACAGAGTTATTACATAATTTTTTCTTCTCCATCTACTTTTCAGAGATCTGAGTCAGGAGGTTGGGGGCGGGGGGGTTGAATAACCTTGTGTTTTTCTGGACCTTGTATTCCTTATTACTTTCCAGAATGTGTACAATGCTTTCTCTTCTCCATTATAATGAAGCAAGCAGTTACCACATCATTTTAGCAGTGGAGATGCAGAAGCAGCAGTGAGGATGGGAAGCCAACACTTTTATTTCAAGGGAATGTGAGTTCTAATACTAGAAGCCCTGAGCTCACCAACCAGGGCTCCTCTGTCTCAAAAGGCAAATGCATAGCCCTGTCTTAGGAATATTCAAAGACACAGAGAAGGAAAGGACTGGTCGGCTCTGGCATTTACCACCCTATGCCCAAAGTGTCCTTGTAGACAGAAGTATACCTCACAGTCTAGACAGGATTGCACTTGGCAGAATCACTGACAGAGTGAGAACATTGCCGCAGCCCAGCTGGCTGGGCAAACTAACCAGGGAGTGACGAGGAACTTGTGTAGATTGATACAGCAGGAGTGGGAGCCGTTTATTGTAGGACAGGAGGGGGTATATATACATTCCACACAGCTTATCTTAATTAACATAAACTAGATACAGCAGTCAACCCATAAGGAATCTCCACACTTAATGGCTCACTGGCATTACTTCACAAACCACTCCCTCTGACAAAATGCCAGGTGCCATCCTGACTTGTTTACAGACCCTAACAAACATGGTATTATTTCCAAAGCACATAGTTGTTTTTTCTTTTTTTTGTACAAGGGATTGAACCCAGAGATGCTCAACCACTAAGCCTCTTCCTCAGCCCTTTTTAGTTTTTTATTTTGAGACAGGATCTTCCTAAGTTGCTTAGGGCCTCACTAAGTTGCTAAGACTGGCTTTAGAGTTGCAATCCTCCTGCCTCGGCCTCCCAAACCACTGGGATTACAGGTGTGCACCACCACAACCAGAAGTACACATATTTTGCCAAGAGAGTAAACCATTATTTTCTACAATATTTTACACTCCTGTACATTTTAAATATAAATATGTTGGAGGAAAATTAGAAAAAAACTATAAGAATTTACAATCCCACCACCACTCTTTTTTTTTTAATATTTATTTATTTATTTATTTTAGTTCTCGGTGGACACAACATCTTTGTTTGTATGTGGTGCTGAGGATCGAACCCGGGCCGCACGCATGCCAGGCGAGCGCGCTACTGCTTGAGCCACATCCCCAGCCCCACCCACCACCACTCTTAACATATTGGTGCTTGTATGGTTTTATTTCTCCCCACAAAGCTGGGGTCTTGACTATATAGATATTCTTTAAACTGAAATAAAATTCATGTAACAGAAAATTCACTGTTTTCATCTTTTCTTTCTTTTTTTTTTTTCCTTTTGGTATCCAAGATTGAACTCAGCACCTAACCACTGAGCACATCCCCACCCCTTTTTATATTTTATTTAGAGACAGGGTCTCACCAAGTTGCTGAGGCTGACTTTTAACTTGTGATTCTCCTGACTCACCCAACCGAGATACTGGGGGATTACGGGCATGTGCCACCACACCCAACTATTTTCATTATTTTAAAGTATAAGATTCAGTTATTTTTAGCACACTTATAACTTTGTGCAATCATCACCACTTATCTAGTTCCAGAACATTCAAATCACCACAAAAAGAAGCCCATACCCATGGAGCAGCGGCTCCCCACCCTGACTCTCCCCAGCTCCTGAAAACCAACATCCATCTTCTATCTCTACAGATTTCCCTATTTCTGACATTTCAAATAAATGAAATCATACAATATGTGGTCTTTTATATCTGGTTTCTTTCACTTAGCAGATGTCTTCCAAGCTCAACCACATTACATGTAGCATAGAGTTCTTCATTTCTTTTTATGAATGAATAATATTCTATGAAATGGATACATTACATTTTGTTTACCCATTCACCAGCTGATGGACATTTGAATTGTTTCCATTTTGCCTATTTTGAATAATGCTTCTATTAACATTTGTGTACAAGTTTTTGTGTGAATACCTGTCTTCAATTCTCTTAGGAATATAGCTTGAAGTTACTGGATCATTATATGCTTAGTGTTTTCATCTTGAATTTTTAAATTATATCATAAATATTTTCCCATGTTATAAGAAACATTACACCATAGATAAGCATCAGGATTTATTGAGTAATTTTCTTATTGTTAAACATAACATGGAGTTTAGTTTTTATCATTAAAAATACTACTGCCAAGGGCATCCTTGTTCATAAATGTTGGTTCATATATATTTTATTATTTCTTTAAGATAAATTTCTATGTTGATTTACAACACTGAAGAGAATAAACACTTTTCTCTTACCTTTTTAGTAAAGTATGATATGTTCTTATATAATAAATTTTTAAACTATTTTGTTTTAGTTGTAGTTGAACACAATACCTTTATTTTATTTTTATGTGGTGCTGAGGATCGAATCCAGCGCCCCCACACATGCTAGGCAAGCACTCTACCACTGAGCCACAATCTGAGCCCCTCTTATATGATAAATTTAAATAGGAATGTTCTAAACCCTGATTATCTTCCCTTCCCACAATTCTACTCTGTCGAGGTAACTACTTTTAGTCACTTCTTATGTATCCTTCTCCAACTATTTTCTGTTTCTACAACACTTTTGAAACTGTTTGGGGGTTGCTAAAAATAAGTGTATACTATATATTTGTTTATACTTGCACTATCTAGTATTGTAGCCTGTAGTCATAATTGGCTTCTGAGTTCTTGAAATGCATCTGATCTGAATTGAGATGTATGGCTAATGCAAAAATATGCATAAAGTTTTAAAAACTTAGTATAAAAAGGCAATGCAAAATATCTTAATTTTATATTGATTACACATTTAAAGAATATATATATTAGATTAAATAAACTCTAAAAATTAATGTCATCTGTTTTTTAGATTTACTTTTTCTTTTTAAAATTATACCTTTTAGAAAATTTGAAATTATTATGTGATTTACATCCTATTTCTATTGGACAAGGCTATTCTATAGCATATTTTCTAAAGCCTTTTAGACATTTTCACATTGTCAAACATAGAAATCAGTTATTCCTTTTTGAGGCTACACAGTGTTACTTTGTCTATTCTACTCTCATTGGGCATGGAGCAGCTTCCATATTTTTCCTATTATAAATAAAGCGGCTAGAGCATCCTTGTACATTTATAATTGCTCAATTTTATGAGTTGATTGTGACTTGTGGGATATTTTCCTAAAAATGGAATCACATTCCAAATTATTGATAGATCTCCCAAATATTGATAGATCTCCCAAATCTGTCAATGATAGACTATAGAAGAGAAGATAATGCCGATATGCCTATTTTGACAGCCTCTTGGAGCTCATGCCATTTGTCAGGACAACATATCCTGCTTGAGGAATAGCACAGGGAATCAGCTAAGTGTTACTATAGGGGTCCTCCACATAGACAGTGTCTCACAGGTATTCAATTTTTAAAAAACTATTCAAAGATACGTGTTAAAGCATGGTAAGACAGACTTTATTCAGCACTGTGGCAATGGTACAGGAACCACTGCAATGGGATTTTGCAGTGGGAAGAGATTAGGCTCAACTCCAAATACAACACAGGCAAGTGGGAATTTGTAGCCAAGGAGCAAGGTAGGTATCAGTGCATGGAAATTTACTAAGAGAAAACATTAGGAGTAAGAAGGATTCTGGTTAAACGACCTAACAGGATTGTTATTAAAGATAGGCCAGTGTGATCACACATAAGATGAAGAGCATAAGAAACCTCATCAGATATCCAAGGAGATCATGTATCAAGGGGTTCTTCATAAAATAATCTTGCAGAGTTCTTGGCTAAAACTGGATTTTGCTAGGAAGTGCACAGATGGGTCTAGAGAAGGTCCAGGAGCCTGACTAAAGTTTGGTCAATCAAAGAATCTTTATCAGAGGTTTAGGCTGTTCTTCTATTGATCTTTAAAAACATTAGACTAAGCAAGAATGGGATTTTCTCAGAGTTAGGCTATAGACATTGATTGCTATCACTGAAGTTTTAG